GATGAGGGAAAGTGGTAGACATTGAACCTCCCTACCCCAGGATCGCTACCTGTCCGAGAGAACCATGATATCCACGAGACGACAAAACACAATGATCATGAACGTCATGATCATGGAGCCAATAGTAATAAGATGAAAACGACAACCAGAGACAATCTAGTACAGTATCACAGGGCCAAGCACGTCTCTGACGGGGAATACACGGACCCGACATTCCGCCAACCCTTCCAAGATGAGGGCAGAATCTCCGAGCCCGACAAAGAGAATTCAGTATTCGAAGTCCCCTTCCATCCTGAACTTATTGATTATTATTGTCAAAATATAAGTGTGGTGGAGGGGGCTCACAAACGGGGCTTAGCTTACATGCGCATTTAGGTGGTCCAGATGCATGTACAGTACCACTCCTATCAACCTGGAGGAAAGATGAGGTCAACCTTCGCAAACGTCATGAGGGAAATGTCGCACAACACAATCTCCGTAGAGCTGGAACCACTCGTCCTGAATGGCAAGTGGTGAATGACACTCTTGATCTATGGGTTGCGCAAGCAGAAGGAGATGGAATGATCATAGGGGACGAGACTCTTAAGAAGAAGTGGAGAGATTTTGCGGACCTGGCGGGCATAGGAACAACAGAGGGAGATCGGCTGAAGTTCTCACAGGCTTGGCTTTCAAGCACCAAACGACGTCTGAACCTCAGGTCTAGACAATTACATGGAGAAGCTGGTTCAAATGATGCTGTCCACGTTGAGGCAGAAAGAGCCAGGGTCCAAGAGTTGTTAAGAGGTTATGATCTCAATGACATCTATAATGAGGATGAGACAGGGCTCTGTCATGCGTGAGTCGCAGACATGCAGACCGGATTATGCTGATCTCAGTATGACACCAGATCGTGGTTTATCCTCAACTACACGATCTGGTAAGAAAAAGAAGAAAACCCGTATCAGATACATGTTTGCCACAAACGCAACCGGTACCGATAAACGTGAACCTCTGATCATTGGGAAGTATCAACAACCACGAGGATTTGGGAAACGAACTGCAGCCGAGCTTGGTTTCCATTATAGGAACAATGGGAGTGCATGGATGACGGCGGTGCTCTATGAGGAATGGATAAGACGGTGGGATCAGGAACTTTGCCAAATAAACCGACACATCATTCTCATCCATGATAACTTCAAAGGTCTCGATGTCCCGGAAGATCTACACTGCATCACAGTCATCAGACTCTCCCCCAATCTTACCTCGGCAGTGCGGGCTCTTGATCAGGGAATAATTCAGCCTCTTGATCAGGGAATAACTCGCGCCTTCAAAGCCCATCATCGAGCAGCATTCAATGCTCGAGCAATTGATCGGTACGACCAAGGAGTTACTCCAAGCGAGGTGTATGATCTAAATCAGCTTCAAGCAATGATTAGCGGAACAAGCATGGGACGAGTTATCACCCACGACTATCTTCAACTGTTGGGGTAAAGCTGGAATCTCCCTTCAATTCATCCTCCTGTTAGGATTCAAGATTCAGGTGAAAATGATGTCGAATCTGGGCTTGATGGTCTTGTTCAGAGGGGTGTTCTCCAGATTACCAACCGTCCATCTATTCAGGAGTTGCTGAATCTGGAGGGAGAGGATGGGGCCGGGTTAGAACGCAGTTCGGATGCTGAATTGTTCCAGGCAGTACAGGAGACGTTAAGAGGGGAGGAAGATGAGGAAGAGGGTGTCACAGAGGTCAATGAACCTGCTGTTACTCAAGAGGAGTTCTTACATGCTACCAATATTTTGAGGAGGGTGTTGGAGACGGTCACGGACCCGTATGGTACAAGACTTGGAGCCCTACTTGCACGCCTTTCAAGAGATAGACGTGCAGCTGAATACGGGTCTCTTCGTCATAGGCACGCTTCATGACTGTTTTCAGCCTGGAGACGCTTCCACTCCCCCTTCACCTCTCTAAACCCATACATATATACCGATTGTGTCCGAGAATTATCAGTAGCTCATGTGTTATGCGATTACGGAAATATGTGGGTTTTCATCATGATTTGGCTGTCCCCCGTTTGAGGAGTCCAAGATTGCTATGGGTTTCCGCAGAGTATGGGTTTCGACCCAGATGGGTTTTTGACCCGTATGGGTTTCGACCTGAGGTGACTGTGATCGGTGTGGCACCTGACAAGGCCGCACTGCCACGGAGTGCCACACTCATTGATCATTACCCCCAGCTGGTCACATGGACAATTCCTTATTGATTTTTCTGTCAATCTATATCCTCCTGTTCCGTACCCATGTTCCATCATCTCACTCTCACGTCTTCTGATTCAAGCTCACGTTCTGTCCCGACCGACTTGTAGATTACCTTGTTGTTCTCTCCTGTCAAAGGTCCATGGTACAGTACAGTATCCAAGCGTAACGTCGTGTCAGGGATGACGTGTGTCGTTTCAGAGATGACGTCTTATCGGAGATGACGTCTTATCGGAGATGACGTCTTATCGGAGATAACATCGTATCGGAGATGACGTCTTATCGGAGATAACATCGTATCGGAGATGACGTCTTATCGGAGATAACACCATTCCAGAGATGACATTGAAGATGACGTCAATACCAATTCCATGCCGTCGAAACTTTACACCTCTTCATATCCGCAACCTTGACTATCTGATCATTTATCAACTTCAACATGTCCAATGAGTCCAGTAGCAGACAAGGTATCCAGGCCATCCTAAATGTACTACCTCACTAACTCACTGATTGGTCGTACTCATGCTGACCTTGCCAGAACTCGATTTGGACTCTACGATCTCCCCCTCCACAACCTCTTGGCGATTACTGGTTTGTTCGACAAGATCCCCCGTCGCCTTCACCAATACGTCCCCCTCAATCGGACCCTTGTTTAATCTCCATTTCTCCCTTCTCAAGTCCCCCCGGATCCACCAGACCATCCAGCCCCTCCGATGGGGGAGCTTTATCTGATGTAGCCTTCCCAGGACCTCACACACCTCCTCTTCCTCCTCTTTCTCCACAGCACGAGTACATGCCTGGTATGGAAGACAGTTTTGGGGAAGCTATGGAAGAGGAGATCCCGAGTGATTGGAGGACTTTCTTCGGTTTACCGCCTCATACACATACCCTCTTGCCGTTGTCCCCAACTCCTCTCAGCCCTCTCCCACCTAGCTCCCCTCCCATCCCTCCATCACTTTCTTCGCTATCCTCTCTCTCCACTCTCTCATTACCTCACCCCCCACCTAGCTCCCCTCCCGACCCACCCTCACTTGCTGTCAATTGCTGTATCCACATATGCCTGCCCCCTGCC